TCTCGGTCTTCTTCTTCGTCGTGTCTTCTTGCAGGTGCGCGGCGGCTTCTTCAACCTCAGGATGTACTGGTGGTCTAATAAGTGGACCCATCCCTAAACCTCACCCTATTCTTTTGACTCCGTAACCTCAATCTATTCATCTCTCAGGATTTGAACTCATGTTCTGTCTGTTAACTCATTGTTACATAAGTGTGTACCACTCGCCCACATTATCTGGGTAAAGCTCGGGCACTGTGATTCAGGTTCGAAGTTCGAACTCATGCTCCGTTTACTCAACAGTTAAATGTGTGTAGGGTGCTGTGTACCATCCACTCACCCACATGGGCTTGGTAAAGGTCAGCCGCTGTGATTCAGGCTCAAACTCATGCTCTGTTTTTAACTCACAGTTACATGTGTGTGTGTGTGTACCATTGACCCACATCGGCTGGGTAAAGGTCGGGACTTGGGCGCTGTGATTCAAGTTGAGAAAACAAAGGGGGCAAAAAAGGAGTTAACGCGAGAGTTGAGGCCATCGATATCAGAAGCAGCTGGGTATAAAGAGGGAGGGAGCTGATTTTTTATTATTATTATTATTATTTTTTTTTAATTATTATTTTTTATTATTATTTTTTTTTAATGCTCCATCTATTACTGATTCTCTGATTCTACTCGAGAAAGTGATCTCTGAGGGAGGGCATGGATAGGAGTAGAGAAAGTGGTCTAAGAGTTGATGGGAGAGGCCTAGTGACTGGAGGTGCAGGCCTGTCATCTGATACTGCCCCTGCCAGGACCCCCATAATGAGCGACCGATGACTGGGTACTGGGTGGAGGTTTCCTGACCATAATGGTAGCCCCGGGTGGGAAGACAAGTAATCATCAGAGTGGCGCCACTTCAGCCCACCCCCCCTGTGCAAAGCGACCCGGGGGGTTGAGGCTGGTCTCTTTCTTACTTCTATCTCGACTTTGAAGTCTGTATATGATTGCCGGGGATAAGCAACCGGACTGCTGCGCCCAGAATAGATGCGTAGTGTTCAGGGGGTTGGGGGGGGGGCAGAGGAGTTCATTTCTCAGTGAGCACAATAGGACCAACCTGTCAGAAAGAACATTCATCCTGTAAGGACACCATAAGAAACGAAGGACAAAAATGCAACAGGACGAGAGGGAAACAGGAAAACAATGGGGCAAACAAAAAGAGCAACGACAAGATAACAAAAGGAAAATACAAGGGAAACAAAGCAAAGAAGTGGAGGGCTGGCAGGCAATGGGGGTAGTGAAGGAGGAGGGAGGGAAACCAGAGGTCAGGGAACGGGAGGAAAAGGGAGGGGAGGGGGGGGAGGGGACAGAATAGGAGGAAAACAGATGGAATGGGAGGGGTGCACAGGGAGGGCAGCAGAGGGCAGGGGAGGCCAACGGAGGGGAGCTTACGGCAGGGGAGGGGGGAAGGAGAGAAGAGGGAAGAACAGGAGGGAAGGGGAGGGAGGGGAGAGAGGGGAAGGAGGGAAGGAAGGAGAGGGAGGGGAGGAAGGAGAGGGAGGGGCGGAAAGGGAGGAAAGGGAGGAAAGGGAGGAAACGGAAGGAGAGGGAGAAAGGAGAAAAAGGGGAGAAAGAGTACCAAGGGGAGGAAGCCGGAGAGAGGCGAAAGGGAGGAAGGGGACAACGGGGTGGGGGGACGGAGGGAGAGAGGGAGGGAGGGAGGGAGGGTGGGAGGGAGAGGAGTGGATCGGGGAGAGGGGAACATAACGGACCAGAAGGGGACACAAGGAATAGAAAGGCAGGTAGAGACAAGAGGGGCAGCAGATGGAAGAGATGGAAATCGAGAGGAAAGGGAAGGATGGAATTGGAACAGAGTGGCATGAAAGAGGATGGAGGGGAAAACCTGTGAAAGAAAGATGAGATGAATGGAAGCGAATGAAAGATGAAAGGCAATGGGAGGAACCAGAAGAGGAGAGGGAAGGCACAGGGGGAGGAAAGGGTAAAGGAAAAAGAGCATGGAGGCATGAAGGAAGAGATGCAAGGAGGAAGGGAAGCAAAGGGAGGAATGCAAGGAGAGAAAGGGAAGCAGGTAAAAGCAAGGAGGATGTGAGAGACAAATCACAGACAGGAAGGATGGCTCAGCCATCTTGTTTTTGGCATAGCTATTTCATACTGACTTTCCCATAGACTTTGACACAGGCCATGCAGAAAAGCAGAAAGAACCAGACAGAAAAGGGTGGGGGGAAACCGGGAGAGGAGGCCATCTGCCAGACAGAGGAGCAGCTCTTCCCAGGAATGATAGCCATACATCCAAAGGAACGCTCAGCCATCTGCAGGCCAGGCCAAAGGACTTGTAAAACAACGACTCAACAACCACATGGACCATGAAACAATGCAGAAGAGCGGGACAATGATACTCCAACAATGCAAACTAGGAGATGGCCATACCATCGATTACACTCGGTGTCAGAGACGGCGCTTGTGTTGTTCCAGGATACGGTGCACCTACCCCTAAAGAGCCTCCAGCAGCGACGGCCTAATTGGTGACAACAAGCCCAGGACACAAAACAACAACAAGAACCATGGCCAAATTCGTCAGCACAGTCCACCTCCCTCTCTCTCTCTCTCTCTCTCTCTCTCTCTCTCTCTCTCTCTCTCTCTCTCTCTCT